GAGGGGAGGAGAGGGGAAGGGGAGGGAGGGGAGGGGGAAGAGAGAGAAGGGAAGGGAGGGGGAGGGGAAGGGGGAGGGAAGGGAGGGGGGAAGGGGAGGAGAAGGGAGGGGGAGGGGGGGGAAGGGGAGGAGAAGGGAAGGGGAAGGGGAGGGAAGGGAAGGGAAGAAGGGAAGGGAAGGGAAGGGGGGGGGAGAGAAGGTTAGGGAAGGGAAGGGGAGAGGGAGTGGGAGGAGAGGAAGGGGATGAAAAGGAGAGAGAGGGGAGGGGGAGGGCAGGGGAGCGGGAGGGCATAGGGGAAGGGAAGGAAGGTGAGGAGAAGGGAAGGGGAAGGGGGAGGAGAAGGAAAGAGAGGGGAGGGGGGGGGGAGGAGAAGAAAAGGGAGTGAAGGAAGGGGGAAGAGAAGGGAAGGAAAGGGGATTGAAGGGAAGGAGAGAGGGAAAGGGGAGGTGGATATGAAGGAATAAGGTGGGTGGAATGGTAACGGGGGGGGTGGGAGTGGGCTAGGAAAGAGGAGTGGGTGAGTAATGGAGTGAGTGAGTGTCACCAGAAGCTTCCCCTGTTAAAGAGGATTAAACGTAGGCCCTGATTTCTTTTGATAATACCTGTACTTATGTAAGTACATAATATTTATTAATACTGTAGTTGACATGTTCGCGTTTATAGAATGGATTTCACGCAAACACTTTTTCTTCAAGGTTTACCAAATATTTTTTTCGACAATAAATTTGCCAGGTCGAATAGGTGTAATTAAATGCTGTGTATCCACTTTTTAGCTCCATTTTGTTTTCAGGAGGGCAGTTCTTCAGAGGACGAAGGTGTTGAGGAAAGCACCTCGTCAGGAGAGAATTCGCAGGATTCCTCCGTCAGGCCCCCCCCCCCCCCCTCTATGCAGACAGTAAGTCTTACAGTGCAGTTCTACAATTTTATTCCCCCCCAGTGCATGTTTATGCTTTGTGCTTTACAGTATGGTGTTGAGAGGGATTACAGTGAAGGTGTTGATCCTGACAGTGGGTCTTGTATACTTTGCACATAATGCACATATAGTTTCTTTGGTGTACCTCGATTAAGATTTTTAAAAGTATACCAGGAGTGATTCCTGTCGTTGTTGCTGTTGATGTTATTGTTTTATTATTTTTTGATATTATAATTATTGTTATTTTTCCAGTGTTATTACCATTATCATTCCCATTACCTTTTTTTTTTTTTTTTGAACTGGTCTTTTTGTTTTATCACCATCTGTTATATTCGCATACCACAGCGATGACTAAACCACTCTTTCTCCCCAACAACAACCACAACCACAACTTCACCCAAAACAACTTAAAGAACTGAAGAGCATGAGTGTGGCCGAGTTAAATGAGTCTGTGATGGAGTTGGAACTGGTAATCCGGGAATATTCCGAGACCTTAATCAACCAGCTGGCTCTTCGGGACGAACTGGAATACGAGAAGGAACTCAAGAACTCCTTCATCTCGCTTCTTCTTCAGGTAAGTTATCTGTCGGGTTGGGCAGAGGTTTGTGTGTGTGTGTGTGTTTGTTTTTGTTTGTTTGTTTGTTTTTGGGTGGTTGTCAGTTTCTATGTGGGTGTAGTGTACATTAATAGATTTGATTGTGAGTGTAAATGTATGGAGTGGGTATGAAAGAATATTTGTGAATAGATGTAATATTGTAATCTATGGTATAATTTCAAATGATAGATTCGATAGTTAAAGAGACAAAGATTTTAAAAAAGTAAATGTAAAGTATGGAGAAAAAATGCAGTTTATGCCCTGAGAAAATGAAAGTAAAAAAAAATTATAATAAGACCTTAGAACTCTTCACATTGAATAACCCAGAGTTCTTGCCATGCATTAACAGCGTTCTCTATGAGCCTTTTACTGTGTCTCACCTATCTCCTCTCTTGCCCTCCATCCCCACAGGTGCAGAACAAGAGACGGAACTTCAACGTCGAGAAGAAGAAACAGAAGAAGGTTGGACCAAATGGCACTGATCCTAAGGTGGAATTGATTTTGCTGTGACCATTGCTTTTTATTCTTCCGTTTTTTATCGTTCTTTTTTAACCGTTCAGTTCCTTCATTCTGTTCAAGAACGCCTTTGTTCGAGTTTGATGATTTCACGCCTAAAATGCTTCGTTTTCCCCCAACACTCCCCCGCCCCCTTTTATCAATGTGTTCTTTGCATGCATGAATATGAATCCTTTTCCTTCCTGTCCACTCACACCTCCCATTCACCTCTGTTGTAGAATTTAAGAAATAACATAAATAAATAAAGGGGTGGGGGGTGCTGGGCAGTCAAACACTCAAGCAAAGTTGTTATAAGTCAACAAAAGTCATTCCCAACATGGTCAAAGTAGAATTAAACCAAATGAACTAAGTTATACTGTTTATACATCTATCTATCTGTCTCCACATCTACATCTATATATAAATGTGGTGTCCTTAAACCTACACGAGTATGCATGTTCTCCGCAGTATCTGACGACAGTGATCCCTTACGACGTCGGTCACGGGCCCCCAGAAAACCAGACACTCCAGATCCTTATTAAAAGTAAGTATAATAGGTTCAAAAATCTAAGATATTTAAGGTGTTTTCAATTTTGAGTTCATTTTGTTATGTTTTATGCTCTTTATTTATAAGTAATGTAAAATGTCGGAGATTTAGAGTTTCATCAGTTTTTATAATGATGGAAAAGTATTTCTGAAATATTGATTTGTCTGTGTTATTATTCTTGGTATTATTTTGTTTGATGTGTAGATTCTTTCAATCCTTTAGTTTTATACTTTTTATATGTTAAACTCATCTTCCACGCCGTCTGTTATATGTAAGATCTTTTTTCTCAATCTGCTTTCTATCTTCAGTACATTAGGCCTATGTTTTTCAGCTCTCTTTCTACCCATAATCATCAGTACATTAGACATTTCTTCTTTCATTAGGCCTTTAATTCCTCACTCATTTTTTAAGCATTAATCCTTAATACATTATATATACATAATTTTTTTTTTTTGCTAATTCTTCTCAATTTTTCTTCACCTCTCTTTAATACATGAGACGTTTCCCTCATCTCTTGTTATATTTATTTGTTTTCTTTTGTCCCCCACTAGTTTTGATGGCTATTAATGAGGACAGCCCGACTGTTCCCACATTGCTCACTGATTACATCCTGAAAGGTAAGTGTCATTTGCGATGTTAAAACTTTCCTCTTTTTTATATTAATTTTTTTAGTACCTGATGACTCTCCTTAATTCATGTGAAATTTAGAAGAAAGGCAAAAAAAAAAAATTATACATGAAGTGCTACTTATTGTGTCACCTTGCCAGTGGAGAAGAAAAAAAGGAAGCACCAAAAAAAAAGAAAAAAGAAAAAAAATGAAAAGATGCAGAGAATAGTAATAGAAATCAGACATTGATTACGCATTTATGTAATCACACGTATATATTTCCCCTCCCCCGACCCCTCGTGTAGAGGAAAGTTAAAGGTAAAATCTCATCTTTGTTCATGTGTGGTGGCCCAGGAATTAAGTTAACCCGATTTTTGTGATCTGTACAAGACTTCTTTTGAGTTTTGTGAGGAAAGCCATATTTAATTTTGTTCTTGTGACATTGGTATTATATATGGCTTTTCTCCTTTGTTTGCTATTGATTATTTTCTTAATGGTTGCTTTTAAGTATCCAGTACATGAAACAGACAGTGATTTTTTGTTTGAGCTCATTCCATGGAAAGACAGTATTATCATATAGGAAGAAGTGGATGTAATTTTGCTTTTATTAAAGTACATCACCAAGATATTAAAAAAAATATGGGTTTTGCTTTATATCTTTGGTAAAATTGATGCATTGTAATAGTTTGGACATTAATATTAAATTACATGTGTCTAGGTTGTGTGTGTGTGTGGGGGGGTGCTTATGAATGCATGACTATGTACTTGCAAATGAATGAGCGAGTTAGAGTCAAAATACATAAATTGGATGAAAAATAGAGGACAGTATTTTCTCTCGTAGTTTTACTATGAATTGCAGTATTTCACACACAAAAGAAAAAAAAAATGAATCTTTGCTTTATTAAAAAGTTATTTAAGCACTTTTTTCCTATATGATATATTGTTGAAAAGTCTTTACACTGTCAGTTACACAAAACATCATAATTTGAAACTTTGACATTTTAAGAAAATATAAATAGATTAAATCTTCTTTAACTGCATTTTTGTAATATTGATGGCACACTAATTCAGATGAATTCTTCAGCAAATTAAATACATTATCATACAATAATAGGTCAGCAAAAGAAAATCATGATAAATCACAATAAAAAAAGAAAAAAAAATCATGAAATATTGGGTAAATTTTTTTTCAGGCCACCTCCTACACTGGCTTCATATAATAATTTCTACTTCCCCATACCAGCTGTTTAAGGATAGTGATCAAAATATAGAATGGCTGTCGATTCATGTTTTTTGGCTAGCGAGGACATACTATAGAATCCTTTTTTTTTTCTTTCATTTTTTGAAAAAGTTGGAGAGATCTCCCCCCCTCCCTAATGTTTATATCTTGACTTTTTTATTACATCTTTTTATATTTTACATTTATCCTGGCAAGTGATTGTAAGGTTGAATATTGTATCACATAGTTTAATTATGTATATTTAAAGTAATTGTCATCATTATTATGTCATTACATCAGATATGTTGCCAGCTTTCACTTCCCTTTGCGGTGAATGTAACGTTAGAAACTGTCCGTTGTAAAAATTGTATAGAAAAAAAACGCCAAAAACTAATTGGTACGGAGGAAATTTGGCAATGATAACACACATAGAGTAGAGCTTCATACCCAATATACTTTATATACTATAAACAAGAAAAACATGCAGAGGAAATATTAATTTTGGGTCTTTTTTTTTCTCTCTTTCGCTCTTTAAAAAAAAGAAAAGAAAAAAAAAATCAAACAAGCTCACACGTTCTACTCCCACGAGATACCAAGTAATATTTCCTTTTAATATTTTCTGTATTGCAGTATAGCCTCCTTTTAAATGACCCCCCATTCCCCTTTTTGAAAGTAAAACTCTCTTAAGTTAAGGAATGATGAAATACAGCATTTGACTAGACATTACCTAAATGCCCAGTAGATTCTCTCTTTATTTTATATATATATAATTTTTTTATTTCATGCCATAGCCTGTCTGATAATTTGATCCCTACCCATGTCATATGTGCTCTTAGTCCCTGTTCTCTGCTTCCCTATTGCACATTGTTCTTGTGGTGTTCATCATGTTATGTTCTGTATCAATGCCCTTCTGAGAAAAAATTATTTCTGTGTATTAAAAGAAAAAAAAATCCTGCTCCACTCACATTTTAAAACATATTTTTCTTCCTTTCTATTTTGATTGAAATTTACTTTTGAATAGGTAAAATTTTGGCAGAAGTATGTATTTGCATACTTGTTACATTGATGATATTATTCATGATATTCTGATATTTTTTCTTCTTTTTCTTTTTCTTCTCTCTCTCTCTCTTTCTGGCTGTCTGTCTTTGCAAAATGTGTGTTTATTCCAGTACAATGCTTTTAGCCAAGACATTTTTCCTATAAAAGCAGGTCTGATATTTCTTATATTGCTTAACTTCTTGCACAAGAACAGAATAGTACATGAATATATAATGAGTTATTTATTATGATGGAAGATATGTTATATTTCATGTTCTACAATAATAAGTCTTATCAGCTTATTTAGGTGAATAGTGTAATTTTTACAATCAATTTAAAGTACTGTAAGTGAAAATTCTTTATCCAGTGTCTACTATAGATATACAGTCTCTTAGAAATTCATGCCTTTGTACATGATTAAAAAAAATCAACTTCATCATTGAACAACTATAATTTCTTTTTTGAAGTAAAAAGAGATTGAAATCCTTTGACAACTTTCATCTGAAGCTTTCCATGTCTTACACTCCTTTCTTTTCAGTGTTGTGTCCATCGTGAGCTTCTGCCGTAACGCGTACAGCCATGCCAACCAATAAGTAAATCTGGCGGCTGCGGAGACCAAACACAACCTTACAAAAAGTGGCTGGAGCCAAGACATTCCGCACACACACTGATGTATAGAGTTACCCGTCTGCCTGAGTTGACTGTACATACAATGCATGTCATTTATCATTTTAAGGTGACACAGAAATGAGTTTTGTCCATTGATTATAAAGGACCTTATTGTCAGAATTATTAAAACAAAATTGGAAATGAAAAAAGTACTTTGATATTTAAAACAGCAGTAATTCACCCAACTAAATAGACGATATAGGTATTCCTATAGGAGCTAGTCAACTGTGCCAATGGCCAACACATGACAGTCAAGAAATATTAAACTGAAGGTGTATGTTTCTAAACCAAGGATGCATTTTACTAACACGCTTGATATGGTAATATAAAAGAAAAAAATTAGAGGAATGATAAAAACAGGAAATGACTGAACTAGTCAGTTACTTAGGCATGTTATCAGAAAGATATGTATGTATATATTAACATTATTTGGAGTTTTATTTCTACAACACATGTTCATGTGAAATATTATCATGAAATCAGATGTGTATAGATACCCTCCAAGCCACATTTTATGCAATTTGGGAAGTAATAACTGCAGGCAAAGGAATCAAGCAAGGTGTGTAAATGGTTTGTTTTGTGTATATTCAGAATGTTCTTTTTTCTTCTTCTTTTGTGCATGAGGAAAAAAATAAAAAGTTAATGTACTTGAAAACTGCAAAAATCTGACATTTTACACAAGTACTCGAGTTGTCACAAAATACCCTCCAGAAGTCTTAGTCTTCTTAAAAAAAAAAGAGTTTTAATACTGAAGATTTGCCATGCTTAAGGTAATAAAAGATCTGCTGATGGTTGTATTATGCTATTTCCAGAAGCCCAAGTGCAATTGCTGTATTAAGTACTGTATGTGTGTGTGTGTGGCTTGAAGTAGACTTAAATTGATAAACAGGCAGACTGAAAACTTTAGTTGTCTCGTCACAAAAAGAAAAAAGAATAGAAGACATTTTGCAGGAATTAATGCAATACAAGATCAATAGGTCACAAAATAAATCTCAAAAGACCATTTAAAGTTTTCATCTGCCATTTACCACGAGCAGACGAGCAGCTTGTGTCATTCTCTGTTGTATTCCAAATTTTACAAATAGTTCTTGCAAACCAGTTCATATCATATATGTTTTATCATTCGAGGAATACTGCAGTGAAGGCATTACTCATTACTCTACACATCTGCATTATATATAATTTGAACCTTATATTTGTACATCTGTATATCCATTGCCTCCCTCTACCTTTGAGATATGCACAGACATACTCAATAGTCATGTGTATGGATGGACATTGTTGGTGTGCTTTTGGGGAGGCTGAGTCACATACTTGTATAAATTGCTTTGTTCCATTGTAAATGTTAGATATGCATGCACTGTCTTTCAAGGATTCAAATATCAGTAATCATCTAACAGAGGATAATTTGATTGTGCTTTTTGATTAGCATTTTAATGTTTAAAAAAAGAAAACAAGACATGCCTTGTCACTGCCATACTGTTAATTAATTTGAGGAGTCTAGATGGGCAGTTGGAACTTTATCGTATTACACAGCTTCTCCACCAAATAGGCCTAAGATATATAAAAATTTCTCTCTATATTTATAAGGAATCCTGGGCAGTTTTGACCAAGTAGTGGTGTATATACTTCTTCAATGTGTATTGTAACACTGTCAGTACTCTACCTACAGTGCAGTACCTCCCAAAAAATATCGGTTTAATTTACAATAACTGAGTGATACTTGCATTGGGTTTATTCAATTTCCACCTTTAGTTGAACAGTGTATTTTGGTTTTGTGATTTCCATGGTCAAGATCTGAATGACTTTGTCTCTATCTCGTAGAGTGAATGATAATTTTTGTGCATGAATTCAAATTTCATTTCCACTCTTGTGTAAATGTTGGCTTGTTAATAATGGATTTATTCATATATTTCAACTTTCATCTGTGATGCTTTCTTTGCATTGTATATTAATTTGAACCTTTACCTTGTTATTTTATTGTCACAAACCTATTTATAAAATAAAAATCTTTGTTCTTGAAAGTGTTCCTTCTTTTGAAATCCTCACTCAAAGACAAACTATTATAGGGAACATATTTTCCCTCTCAGTCCGTGTAATGTGTTTTATTCTAAACAGAGAACAACAGTATTTATAGGCAGGGATGGTGAACTTTGTAAATCCGGACACATTCCAAGTTAGGCATCTAAATAAAATTGTTCCCAAAGAACTTTGAAAGTATCCAGGAAAGATTAATTCCTGTGATTCTGCTGGTGAAGCATTAAGAATGGACTGCACCCCAAAAACAATAACTTCTTTTTCTCTCAATTTACATGACATTATACTGACTTCTGCCCAAGCTAATATAAGAAATATTGTACTAGAAGAATTTTAGGATGGATACATCATTTTTTAAAAGGGATACTATATACCATCACAGGCACCATTTCATATTGTAAGACAAAGAGAATAGAGGAGAGACAGACAGACAGACAAACAAACAAAAGGCAAATAAAAAGAGACATACAAACAGATAGAGAGAAACAGAGAAAGGCAATAAAGAGAAAGTGAAAGATAGAGAAAGAGAGGGATAGAGAAAGGAAAAGAAAAAGAAAAAAGAAAGAGAGAGAGAAAGGAAAGAAATAAAGGCAAAACCAAAGCAAAGAAAGGGACAGAAAAGAAAAACGATGAAGACAGAAAGACGTAATGACAGGAAAAAGATAAGTGAGATAGAAGGAAAAGGAATTGAAAAGAAAAAATATGAAGAAATGAAAAAGAGGCAGGGAGTATATATGTACGTATATATATGTATGTATGTGTGTGTGTGTGTGTGTGTGTGTGTGTGTGTGTGTGTGTGTGTGTGTGTGTGTGTNGGTCGTGAATTGTTTTGTTTCGCTTAATGCGTGGTTGTTGATTTCTGCTTGATCGTGTGGGTGATTAAGCAGTCTCTATGTGATTACACCTCCAGTGTGACTTTCCCTTTTTAAAGGACTTAAGTCATTACTATACTTCGTTCGTACTTGAAGGAGTCATCTCCTGTACATATATATATTTTTTAAAAGTTAATGTTAAGTGTTCCTATCGTCCTGCTTGAGGAACCGTACATCCGGGATTAAAGATCGTTATCAGGATCCTTTTACATATTTTGTTTGTTATGTTTCTGTTGATTTCTGGCCTGACCTTGTGGTGATCAGACAGACTTTTGTTTTGCTCCGTATCTCCTGATAACGAGCCCTTAGTATCACATGATACTTGATTTTTGTTTGTTGTTGTCGTTTGTTGTTTCGGCTGATTCCTGATCTGACTTGTGTAGTCAGGCAGTCTTCGTGAGAATAGTAGACCCTTCCTCGATTTTCAGCCTTACTTATTAATCTATTTCTTAATTCTTTTGCACACAAGTACTCTTACTAGGATATCCGTCAGTATTAGTTTGTAGCAGTTACATCCATTTGCGGTTGGATGTTAACAATTTAACGTAATTTAGGGACTTGGATGTTTTTATGCTGACCCCCTAATAACAGTACTTCTGGAGTTGGGACGCCACTTAGGGAAGACATTTTTATATCGTTGGTAAGTTTATCTGGTGTTGATTTCTCGTGCATCACCGCCGCTGTGATAAATTGATGATGCACACACCTTTGTCTACTTTTCATGGACTGAAAAATGCCTGTAATTCCCTAGTGAGCGTAACTTGCTCTCTAAAAAAACATCGTACCATCTTAGAGCTTTTACTCAACTCCAGTCAGAATAATTTATACCACCACTAAAGTTCTGGTTCTGACCAAGGTTAGATGCCTAAATCTTTCTCGGACTCGGGTCTCCTAAAACAGCACATCGCTGGTTGCTCTGACATCACGCAACCCTTGAAAGGCTGTAAAAAGGCTAGATAAATCAGAGAATATTAAGCTGATATCAAAAGGACAGATTCATTTAGCTA